ATGTTTGCCTTTGGGCTGTTTATGATTTATGATTTTGTTGTTTAACTTTTAATTGTAATCTACCCAGAATCATTGGGAGTCAGGCAGCCTGTAAATTGTATAAACAATCAATCAAATGAAGGAAAATAAAGTATTATGAAATGCATCTTTTAACTGATCCTTTATTTATGCTACAGTATTAAATTTCAACATTAAATCTGGTACTGAAATTTCAGAATGATTTGACAATCTTCAATCTGAAAGTTTTAGATTGAAATGAATGTTTTAAAAAAGAACATAAGATCTACTTAACAAGTGTATCAGGATCGTATTTACAAAACTGAAGTATAAAATCACTTGCCCGAGAGGTTATATATGATGAAAACACTGGACAAACACATTTCAGTCATAAATTTCTGAAATTATAAAGACACATAGTCCTCTTCATAAAAACAATAAAATTGTAAAGGGTGAAAGAAACAATTTAAATTGCTATGTACCATTTATGTAAGATATCTGTTTATTACAATTGTATAGCGAGAGCCAGCATGGTGTAATGTTTAAGGCTAGGAGTGGAGAGAGCCAGGTTCCAGTTCTCCCTTAGGCACAGAAGCCAGCTGGATGACCACAGAGAAATCACTTCCTTTTGGCCTAATGAGCATCAGGATCTGACACACGCTGGCTGACATTGGTTTGTTTGTTTATTATACAAACTACATAATGCATTGATAGCTTAACTGTAAGAACTAGGCAAGCAGAGTGCAAAAACAAGCAGGCTCCGCAATTATATGGGACAAACGCTAAGAAAAACAACAGTTGTAAAGTCAGTAGGATTGGGTCTCTGCATTCTATAGATTTTTAAGTGCCATAGGTTTGTTGTAATTATTAAATTATTCAGCTAATTGATTTCTTTGTAATTAATTTTAAAAAGTGTAAGCATATGTCTATTTAATAGGCATTTTGCTTAATTAAGCTTAATAGAAGTTTCTATAATAAATGTTAATCTGTTTAATTAACTAACTTTAATCAGTTTAATTAATTAGATTTTATGTACCTAACTTCATTCTGCTTCTTTACTGAGGTTTCCATAAGGAGTTTCAAGAATAATTTAATTCTCTGGAGTACATGTAATTAAAATTAGGGATTCTAGCACTGGTGTTTCTTTCTTCCTTATTCATTCATTCATTCATTCATTCATTCATTCATTCATTCATTCACACTCACATCCCTTCTTTTCTCTGGGAGCACAGAGTAGTGCAGGTTGAGTTCTCCTTTCATTTTATTTTGTCAAAAATAATCCTGTATGAAGTACTAGTAGTTTAGCTAGAGAACTGATTGCAAGTTACAATTTATTCATTTCTGGCTATCCAAAGGAAGCTATATTTCACAATGTTCTGTTCTTCTTTCTTGAAGCTACCTTTACTTAACAAGATTTCTTAAACCTTTAGTGATTACAAATTAGGAGATTCTTCTTGGAAATTTCTGTATGTGGGTTTATGTACGTATACATTAGTATTAAAAACAACAGCAAATGTAAATGGAACCAATGTAAATTTAGAAAACTAAAAGATTACTTCTTATTCATTTTGTGTGTGTGTGTGTGTGTAATATAGAAACAAAAAGGAAAAACAGTAACACAAACAAAAATGAACAAGATAGATAGAAATAATAAAGTTGAAGTAAATTTATAGAAAATGAAAATCTCGTATCATACATCAGGGATTTTATATCAGGGATCATTGAGTCTTTCCACTGGAGTAAAACTATTTTTAGCTGCATCTCACATAGTTGTTCCTATTTCAGCAGGTTCCAAATTTCTGGAATATAATTTAACAATACATTCACATCTTTTCCCCCCAACACCATACTAACAATCTGACATTAAACCAAGCGAATACTACCACAGAACAAACCCCATACGTATGGGTCCTTTCCCCACCAAAATGCTATACTTCTAACATATAGAGATTCAAATCCAAACCTTCCTACACTTCTTTTGACACATGTCAAAACCACAAAGAAAATCTTTTAGTGCATTAAATGCATCTTAAAAGAATATTAACATTGTTTAAAACTCCAGCCCATTGGATCATTCCAAATTATTTGTATATCTATTTTAGTACTTTGTTATCACAGCTTAGGAATCCAATTTTATTTTGTGAAACATCAAGTGTTTTAGAAGACTTATTAACAGTGAGTTGATTCAAGATACTGATGCCAGGTTTTGCTCATGAACTCAAGAATAAAGATTTAACAGCAATTTTTAGACTACAATTATCCCACAATTATCTATTTCTTATGAGCATTAAGATCAAAGGTAAGTCTCCAGCTGGCATTGTCCATATATATGAATTGAAGCCTTTAATACAAGAAAGACAACTAATATTAAAGGGGCCAAATAATATCTTTCAAATTGTGCCCATGAGGATTTTTGAGACAAATCACTTACATTCCATGAAGCTACATTAGTCAGAATATCAGCCAAATAACAAGGCTGAAATTCAAGGAAGTTGAACCCCACCCCCATCTCATATGAAAGTCCTAATTTGAATAAAGAAATCTAGGAGCCTGAGCATCCCATAAGGATTTCCCGAAGGTCTTACCAGTCTGTACAAAATACACTTTTACGTGTGTGTGTGTCTGTGTGTGTGTGCACACACTTTCAAGTCAGTGTTGACTCCTGGTGATTGCCTGGACAAGTCCCTTCAGTTTTCTTGGCAAGATTTTTCGAAGGGGTTTGCCAGTGCCTGCTTCCTAGAGCTGAGAGAGTGACTGGCCCAAAGTCACCCAGCTGGCTTTGGGCCTAAAATGAGACCAGTCTTCTGGTTTCTAGCCTGGTGTCTTAACCACTACACCAAACTGTCAATTTAAAATATTTAGCAGCCTTTAATATCAAAATTATTCTAAGGTCACATCTTTGAGTAACTTGAGTAAATGTGATTAAAATTACATTTATTCTTCCTCCAAATTTCATGAGGACTTTAAGCCACCTATTTATATCAATATTAATTTGAGACAATTAGAATTATTGACCTCTACCAACAAAGAAATCTATATAGGAATTATTCCAGTGTATCTGATCCAAACTACATTCTTCACATTTCAGTAGTATGAATGGATTTTTAAATGTATTTGTGTTTCAAAGTAAAAAAGATATTTTATACTAATTCCTCACACCACTGAGAGAATAGAGAACTTGTTTCAAATATCTGAAGAGAAAACAGCATCAAAACCTGATCCTCAGTCAGCCTTTTAAAAAAATTATTATTCTTTGGAAACTTTGGAAACCTAAGCTAGTTTGTGTCATTGCAATACTTAAATACAGTTTTAAAAAAGGTAGCCCTTGGCTTACATCCATTCATTTAGCGATTGTGCAAAGTTACAACGGTGCTGAAAAAATGGACATACAATCAATCCTCCAAGTTCCGGCCATCACAGCACTTGAGTGCCTGGCTCATGATTATGACATTACAGGGAGTCGTGGTCATGTGATTGCCATTTGCGACCTTCTCTGCCAGTCAATGGGGAAGCCAGCAGGAAAGGTCGCAAGTCACTCCAGTAAGTCTCCCTGGCTTTCCTGCACTCACACTGCACTGCGCCCTCTACTCCATGGCCTTCCTGTGCTTGTGCTGTGCCATGCCCTCCACATCACAGCCTTTCTTGCAGCCACAGGGTGCTGCAGCACTCCCCTCCCCTGATCTCCAACTCACATGTGGCCTGCACCGGGCTTCCCCCGGCACCACTGCACTCCGTACCTGAGACTCCCGCCACTTCCTGCTTAATGACCCATGCATCTTGCGGTTACAATGGCAACTGGGACTGCTGAGATTGCCGTTACTAAGCGATGCAGTCATGTGATGTCATACTTTGCAACCGCATTGCTTAGCAACAGCAATCCTGGTCCCAATTGCTGCTGTAACCCAAGAACTACTGTACCTGTAGTGTCATTTACTAGCATACTATACATTCTTTAATACAAAAATGCAAACCAGCATTAGTTGTATCATGAAGCAATGCCTATCACGTCATCACAGTTACAAATTAGTAATCTAGAACAAGCAAACTATATTTAGAGTTTTTAAAAAACAGCTAATACAATTAAGGATACCCGTTAGAGATTAATGTGATTTTGCAAAACTATCAAATTCTATCTATTATTTCGTTATAAAAAAAACTATATAAACTTTCCACCCATGAATGAATCCCTCATAAAAAATATATCCTTATTTTCAAAGAAATAAGCTAAACTGCTCAATCTCCTTTTCATTTCCTGCCCTATCATATTTATTTAAATCCTAAAAGTTTCATGGCAATAACAATAAACTCTCAATTTAACAGACTAATGGGGAAGGGGGAAGGGGTATCTGTTTGAGCTAAATACCTGTTAAACAGCATATTGGATTTATGCATGTAGAAACATACATAAAATGTACACGCTGATTCACCAAAGAGCGGGCTTTGTCAGTTGTTTGGGACAAAGTCCAAATTCAAATTTTGATTGAGATATCCCAAATCTACTCAATTAGGTATATCAAACTAACACTGTACAGTGTTGGCAGGTATGGCTATCCTAGACAATAGGCTACTTCTGCAAATTCTTGGACTCATTTGACCCCTAACAGTGAATTCTCCAACACTTTTCTCAAGAAAACCAATCTTACTACTAACAGAAGCTCTGGCTCAGTAAATAATTTTTACCTAAAAGCCTACTATATTTTGTCATACAAGTTTATTAAATATGTTTAGTTTTTATGGTCCATGTATACACAAGCTTGTAGCATAGATATGCTATAGTAACTATCACCCAGAATTGTAACCTAATTATGAAGGAAAATTTAGCAAAACCAAAACAAATACAGCCAAGATGACACAGTACAGCTTCTAAATGGGGCTAAATGTTAGATTTAACACTGATGTTAAACTAACATTGCATATGATATGCTGCTCTTAAAGATCAGAGATTATTGTTTATTTGTTTATTTATTTAATTTAAAAGAGGTGTATGGCTGCTCATCTTACAGCACAACTCTGGGCAGCTCACAACAACAATAAAATCACAAAAACAATTAAAAAAACAAAAATAATGACCAAACCCTGGTGCCTCAGTCATCCTTCTGGGATGTCCCCAGTAAACCATCTGCAGGCTACCATGTCACTCTGCCCTAGTGCCTGGAAGAAGAGACAGCTCCTTATGGCCTTCCAGAAAGCTAAAAGGGTGGGGACCTGCTGGACCGCCAGAGAAGGGTATTCCACAGGGTAGGGGCTGCCCCGGAAAAGGCATGTTTAATTTAGTTTAAAACAGAAGTCTACATTCCCCCTTTTTTCCTCGATGAAACTTCAGTGCACTCCTTCTGAAAGGAAAGTTCCTTCAATTCTCCTCAACACATTTGCAGGACATGCTGGCCAACATATCATGAAAGAAAGAGGGGAGGTCTTGGTCTGCTGGCAGATGGTTTGCATTGAACATACCCCCAAGTCCATAATATTTCCATCCTTCTTTCTCTTGACAGCAATCCTAAAAATCTAGAACAAAACACACTGAAATGTCATGGCTATATAGAAATGTAAATCTAATAATTCATTTATACTACACATACAATGGGATTGGTCCAAAGAAAAATGCACAGGATGAGAACTGACAGAACCTAACTGCCTTGCCAAATCCCCCTTTAGCCACCCTTCATGCCTCTCCCAAAGATAAGGAGATCCGGCTGAACAAGATGGTCAGTACTGAATGGAGAATCCTTTAAGATTGGGCAGAAGCCAGATTGGGGGGTTTCCCTTTGTCTCTCTGCCTCTTGTGTCATACCCAATCCCATTAACTAGGAACTCTTGATTCTCAGGAGGGAGGGAGGGAGGAACTTCCTTCTGCCAGCTCCTTTCTCTCTGATATTTTCAGTTCCAGCCTAATAGATTTATTTCCATTGTAAAGAGGAAAAATGATTTAAATGCAAATTACTTATTTTTATTTTGTCAATTTCCAGCTGACAATATTTCCGGCTACAATATTTGTTTGGACCAGCAGCATTTTCAGCTTCTGAGACACCTGAGATACTAGAACAACTTGTT